ATATATATATATAGAAAATAAAGGAAAACGTGTATGGACTCCCCATTTAAAATAAAACACAAAAAAAGTTTATAGCTGGTAAAAAGCTTAAATCCAAAATATATAAAGAAATCTTAAAATTCAATAATAGAAAACAAACATCAAAACAACAAAATAGGCAAAAGATCTGAGCAGGTACTCTACCAAAGAAGATACATGAATGACACATAAGCACCTGGATAGATGCCCCCACAGTGTTCTTAAATTTCATTAGAAAATTCCAATTAAAAGAAGAAGCTATCACTGCGCATCTACTCAAATGACTAACCCCGCGCACTACCATACCAAATGCTGGTGGGGAAGGAAAGCAGCAAGGGCTCTTATGGCTGGTGGGATTGCAAAATGGTTCCATCATTTTGGAGAGAAAGCCTATTCATTTCTTCCACAGTTAAACATAGGCTTACTCTCTGATCCAGCAATTAGACTCCTATTTAGCAACATGACCTGAAAACTCATGAGTTCAAAGGCCACTGGCAATTTTTCTGCAAAGAGTTAGGTAAAAACCTTCTCTTTCCAAGAAAGCAACAACTCAAACACAACATAAAGGAAAATAGGGCTTTAAAGTATGTGGAAAAGTATAAGAAGAACGAAAATAACTAATGCATATGTTTTGGCAGATGTATAATCGGGGTTGTCATTAGAAGTAAGGACAGGGAGACTTCAACATGTTATCGGATGGGGTTAGTCCTTAGAAAGGAACATTATGAGTGGACATTTATTCTTTGGTTTCTTCTCAAGGTGAAGATAACTTTATAAATGTCCTAGAGAACTATAGCAGCTTTCTGTTCACCCCGTGCAAGTAAAAGGGGTGGATCCTTCCACTACTGACACAACAAAACAACAAAAAAAGAAAAGATCATTATGCTTGGTAAACTGGAGGGTCAGCAAAAAAAAGAAGAACTTTTGTTCATCAAAGACACAAATAAGAAAGTGACAATACGCAGTGGGAGAAAATATTTGTGTATAGTTGATAAAAGCTTAGTATCTGAAAAAAATCGCCCTGGTGGAGTAATGTTTACAACTTGGCTGCTACCCCAAAAAGTCAACAATTTGAGCCGACAAGCCATTCTATGGGGAAGCAAGACCTGGAGATCTGTTTCCATAAAGTTTACAGCCTAGAAAACTCTACAGCCAGTTCTACTAGCTCCTACAGGGTCCGATGAGTCAGAATCAACTCAACACCGCAAAAGCAGTATCCAAAAGAGATCCATGCATCGTAATAACAGTTTGCACTTGCTTACTAACTTAACGGCTGGCGTTTTGAAGCCCCCACAAGTCATATTTGCCTCCAGGGCAGTGGGCTTGGAGTCTAGTATCCAGGCCTTCACCACAGGAAAGCCACCAATTATAAAATGGAAAAGCCTGGTAATCAGAAGAATTCCTTATTCTTGTCCATCACGAATTATGTAAACCTAGGCACATCAATGAAGTAGGACCAAACTGTGGTCCTAATCCCAGAAATTAAATTTCATTATCTATCCTTCTTATCTCCCAAAATTCTTTTCAGGAGCAAACAAAACTATCACAAAAGTGTTTATATGATAGTGAAATGCCATGAAAAGTGTATTATAATTTTTAAAATAATATCCAACAGGCCATTTTAAAGAGAAACATAATATTACCAAAAGGTCCTTGCCTACAATTAAATAAATATGCACATGAGAAACCCATTACAAAAAGCTCAACACATGTAAACACAAGGTTACTTTCATTAAAATATCTAAAGTATCATTGCTTCATCAGTCAGAGATAACAGAATATCTAGTTCCTAGAGGCTAGGCTATTCTTAGCCTCTCCTGCCAACTGTTGCAAAAACCAAATTCTGTGAAAATAAGGCTAGCTGTCAGAGGTGGTGCTAGAAACCCCTTGACTCACCTTAACCTTTCTGATCAAGGGTAGTCAAAATATGACAAAATAAGTCCTTCTTTGTACAATGTTAGCTTCTTGCTATCACATAAGAATCTTAACATAAGAAATATTTAAAACGGAATGCTGCATTCTAGTATAGTGGAATGGGAGTATGCTTAGAATTCGGAAGCTTTGCTTCTTTTCCAAATTACAGCTCCATTTCTTTTCTTTGAATGGTTGCTCTAAACAATTTAACCTAAAAATATATCTTATCTTATCTTATCTTATCTTATCTTATATCTTTAAATTTAAAGATAATTTTATTGGGGGCTCTTACAGCTCTTATAATAATCCATACATCAATTGCATCGAGCATATTTGAACATATGTTGCCATCCTTACTTTCTAGACATTTACTTTCTGTTGAGCCCTTGATATCAGCTCATCTTTTATCCCTCCCACCCCACCCCCACCCATGTGATTCCTTGATAAATTATAAATTATCATTTTCATATCTTGATTACCTCACTATCAAAAATTTTATTGATAGTTGTTGTTTTTCTCTTAGTTCATTGTAACGATTAATCCACTTGTTTCAATCCATTCATGCAATGAAATGCCAGCTGTCAGTCTAACTGTAATTACAATTCTTTAAAAATAATCTTACTGTTTGTTTGATTTTGCTTTTGTTTTCTTGGTCTTTGGAATTCTCCGAATTCACTACAATGTGTTTAAGTGTAGATTTTGTGGATATTTTTCCCTTACATTTATCCTGCTTAGGGTAACTAGGCTCCATTAATCTGAGTTTGCTGTTTTCCTCATGACATTCTGAAAATTTTCATATCCTTAACTTTTCAGATTCACTTTCTCCTCACTTATCAACTATCTCCTTTTATCTCTTTTACCAACATTTCCCATTTACAGTAAGCTTACACTATCTGCTATCCCACTAATTTTCCTATGAATGGGACACATGTGACAGTAATGAATGCCGAGCTCTGGAGCAGAAGTAGTGCTGGCTCTGATGATGAGGCTGACGGAACAACTTGCCCCGGCCAGGACCCTCAGAGGTTGGGCAATTATGAACGGAGGCAGGCACCCTCCATTTGCGATGGGGTAAGGTTGTCTTTCCCCTTTTCCTCGTACAAAGTACGCATAATATCCTGGTCTTTGAAACCCAACCGTGTCAGTGCGGAGAGTGTGTAATGTTTCTGCCCCATTACTCCTCTACTCTCCTTCTGAAACTATAATCTATCTTTTATGCATATTAACCTTTCTTTCATATGTTTGCCTCTTTTTTGCTATAATCTGGATAATTTATACAGATTTATTCTTCAGTTCTCTAATTAAATGTCATATAGCTATTAAATATAAATCTTCATCACTAGAAGAAGCTCATTTGGGTCTTTTTTCAAATCTTTCTGTTCTATGATCAATGAAAATTATTGTTAAACTGTAGGTTCTCAGTACATATTTAATGACTAAATCAATGAATTGTTTAATAAGGAGCCAACTCTCTTTTGTGGTCATTATCAATCGAATACTCCTTACCCCTGTTTTCCTTAATAGCAGAGTCCTCGCTGGGGCTGACAGGATGAGTACAGACAGAAACATGCCTAATACAAAAATATTTCCCTTTCCAGTCATTTGAAGAAAAGGCCAGGTGACGCAGTTATGGTAAATGAGATGTAAATGGAATGTACTCAGTGGTGCAGCTACAGAACTTTTTTGAAGAGACTGGCTCACTTGTATGTGTGATATGATTTGCTCTTGTCCCTGCCTGCATGATCTACAATGCCTGGACATGGAATGACATTTTGTGTCTGTGTAGCAACAAACAACTTCCTGTTTAAAATCTTGGAATAGAAATACCAAAAGAGCTTGGTTCTCTGATACTGTTCCTGAACTACCCATTTTAGGCCTGCTTGTCTCATGAGAATTTCTTGCATTCAAGAAGAATAAAAAATTATGAGCAAATCATAACAATTAGAATCCCAAAGTTTAACAGATATTAGACTCCTAAGAACTATAGAAGCATTTAAAATACGGTATGACAAAATAAAATTAATATATACCCTGTCCTCATTTATTGACATAGTTGGGTTTCAAAAACCCATTTATAATGCAAAAACTAACATTATACAAAAATAGAAAGTGATCACACCACATCACAAAATTGAGGTTGACCACATCATTATATAACAGCCAAATTACATTATTGCATAACTGCCAAACCAATGAGAATCATGGCCCAGTAGAGTTCACAGTTAAGCTTTACCATCAGAGCCAATGTTAATCTTGCTTCAATGCTAATCTTAATACTTGTTACTGCCAGCTATTCATTGCTAATTTACAAAACAATCTGATAGTGTTTTACTAATGTGTTCAATGCAAAATATCAGCGAGTAAGATAGTTCATAATTCAAGAGCACATGTATTTATGTTTCTACCTTAATATTATTAAAGCATATAAATACTATATATTAAAGTATATAAATAATATACTGTATAGAAATTAAGACCACAGTGTGTTAATTACATCTTCATAACTTCCCCTTTTGGGGGGAAATTACATTTTCCTTGAATAGATAATACATACATATACACAATCAAAATGGAAAGATTAAATTTAAAAAAACAACTTTGCAGTGAAATGCAATTGCCTTGTTTCTTCTGTTTTTCAGCTACTCAATTTCCCTCTCCAGAGTCAGCCACTGTTCCAGCCAATTGAGCATGCTTCCAAGAGCTAATCCTTGAATTTACAAACATTTATATAAGAAGATTTGAGGGAGGGGATAGTGAAAATTACCAATCTTCCTAAGAGATCAAATAAGATGATGATAAGAAAGCATTGAATGGGTTTGAAAAATGGACATTTCTAGTGACCTGACAAGAGGAGTTTGAGAAGACTGATAAAAGTAGAGGATGTTGAAAAAGGAACAGACTAGGTTTCCTAAAATGCTTGATTTAAGTAATTAATTTCACACTTACTTTTACTAAATGCATTTCAATTATATCTTTAATGGCAACACTTCACTTTGAAATTAAATAGTTATTATTTCATTTCAAGAAAGTTCATCAAGCCTTTCTACAAAGGGCAAGTAAATAAATTACTTTCAGAATGTCAATGAGCTTGTGAGAAAATAATTAACATGTCAATAAATTTAAATATTAATCTAAAATTTTAGATATTGAATTCATTTCTCCTACCACATCTGGTGTCTCAGCTTTAATCTAGTTTCATTAGGTATATAATTATCCATCTAGTTCCATGGAACCTTGAGGTTAACCTTGACCTTTCCCTTTCCTATACTCTACTTACCTAAGAGCAATTACCAAGATGTTAACGTTCTCTCTTTAATGTTTTTCAAGTCAGTCTGCTCATCCCTCTCATCATTGCTAGCTGGGTTAATTCAGGCCTTTGTTTCTGGACTGGATAACAGAAATCACCTCCTTCTTTGACTTTAGCAAAAGAGGACATCCTTCCCAGTGTTGCTGGAGTGATGTCTCGATGCTCTAAGTGTAAGCCTGGAACAGCTCTTCTCAAAATCCTCCCAAAGCTCTTCACTTCTGCCAAGCGCAAGGAGTCCCTGGGCGAGGGCACCTCCAGGATCTGACCCTTCCACACAAGTTCATCTTCCAGCCCCTCCACACCTGCCAACGTAACTGCCGCTTCGTTCCTTCCCTCTCCTCAGCTGTCTGCAGTCCCCTTCCTCCATGCTCATGGCTCCGAAAGTCAAATTTTTTTACTGTCATCACTGGAGGTCACAATACTCTCCTCTGGCGATTTTGTGTAGATTAGACAGGGTGATGCGTATGATAAGAGCTTTGTAAATGCAAAGGCACGATGAGCATGTACTATATTATGTTTACTAAATGTTTGAATAGGAGTGTTGTTCTTAGGTGCTTTGTGTACAGCGGAACAGAGCTCTGCCGTGTCCTGTGCGCCCTCATAAACCATTGTTGTGTTTAAACCCATGAAGGA